TGATCACCTGGGCTTAAGCAGTTCTTCTCCTGCATTGGCCTCCCAAAGTACTGGGAATATAGGCATGAGCCACCATGCCTGGCCTATTTATGATTTTTATATCAGTATTCAAAAGTGAGATTAGACTGTAGTATAGTTTTTCTGTACTACCTTTTCCAGGTGTCACTAAAAGAAATGGGTAGTTTTTCTTATTTCTCTGCTCTGGAAAATTAGAGCAGGAGAGAAATTATCTGTCTTTTGAGGATTGACATAATTCCTTTGTGTACTGAGCCTGGTTGATTCTTTCAGAGGGGTAATTCAAAGGCAACTTTCCTGTTCTTCCCATAGCATTTTCTCTGTTTAGATTTTGTCTTTCTTCCTGACTAAATTTTGAAAATTTATATATTTCTATGATAATAACCATTTAATCCAGTTGAATTTAAGTTCCATAAAGGCAGGATTTAAAAAATATGTTTTTTCACTGCTGTATTCCCAGGAACTAGAACAGGATAGGACACATACTAGGCATTGATAAATATTTGTCAAATGAATGAAAGAGGGAATCAATAAATAAAGCTAGATTTTTCCCATTCATGAGCATGGAGCTGTATAAAGCTCTGTCTTACCATTATTTTGATTTGCTTTGTATTAGTGGTTACTACTTTCTCAGTCCTAATTTGTGTTAGCCCTTTTTTTGCTTGATTAGGTTAGTGAGGGGATCTCTTTTGGTGAACATTTTTCTTTTCTTTTTCTTTTTTTTTTTTGAGACGGAGTCTCGCTCTGTCACCAGGCTGGATGCAGTGGTGTGATCTCGGCTCACTGTAACCTCCGCGTCCCAGATTCAAGCAGTTCTCCTGCCTCAGCCTCCTGAGTAGCTAGAACTACAGGTGCATGCCACCACACCCAGCTAATATTTGTATTTTTAGTAGAGACTGTGTTTCTTGGTGAACATTTTTTAAAGAAGCTGGACAGAAGGAGCAAGTCACCTATTAGAAGAAAAGAACTCAGGTTCACTTCACGATTCTTCATGACAGTATTTGATGCCAGAAGTTGGGGTAATGCTTCTGCCAACTTAGAGGGCAAAAGTGTGTGATCTAAGTTTTTAGAGTTGTCATTCTCATGGAGAGGCAGCACAAAAGCATTCTGAAAAATGTAAGTCTTCCTGTACACACATGTTATTAACAGCTTTATTCTAATTGTCAAATACTGCCATCAGCCCACATGTCTCATACTGTGGAATAAAACTCATTAATAAAAAAGAACAAACTATTGACATCACAACAACCTAGATGGATCTCAAATGCATCATGCCATATGAACAAAGGCAGTCTTAGAAGAATACTGTATTCATCTGTTTTCATGCTGCTGATAAAGACATACCTGAGACTGGGCAAGTTACAAAAGAAAGAGGTTTAATGGACGCACAGTTCCACATGTCTGGGGTGGCCTCACAATCATGGCAGAAGGCAAGGAGGAGCAAGTCACGTCTTACGTGGATGGTGGCAGGCAAAGAGAGAGCTTGCGCAGGGTAACTCCCCTCATAAAACCATCAGATCTCATGAGACTTATTCACCATCTTGAGAACAGCACAAAAAAGACCTGCCCCCAGAATTCAGTTGCCTCCCACTGAGTCTCTCCCATATCACATGGTAATTCAGGATGAGATTTGGGTGGGAACACAGCCAAACCATATCAAATACATACTCCATGATTTATTTATTTATTTAGACGGAGCCTTGCTCTGACACCAGACTGGAGTGCAGTGGCGTAATCTCAGCTCACTGAAACATACACCTCCCGGGTTCAAGTGATTCTCCTGCCTCAGCCTCCCTAATAGCTGGGATTACAGGTGTCTGCCACCACATCCCAGCTAATTTTTACATTTTTGGTAGAGACGGGGTTTCACCATGTTGGCCAGGATGGTCTCAATCTCCTGACCTTGTGATTCACCCTCCTTGGCCTCCCAAAGTGCTGGGATTACAGGCGTAGCCACTGCACCCAGCCCATACTACATGATTCTAATGTGACTTTCTTGGAGTAACACTATTATAGAGATGGAGAACAGATTAGTGATTGTCAGGGGTTGGGGACAGGTGTGGGGGAGAAAGGAGGTGGGAGAGAGGTAGGTACCCTAATAAAAGGGCAGTACAAGGGATCCTTGTGGGGATGAAACTGTTCTTTATCTTGACTGTGGTGGTGGTTACATGACTCACTCATGTGATAAAGTTGTCTAGAACTTAATGAACACACACAAATGAGTGCAAGTAAAATGGGAAATTTTTTTTTTCTGAGATGAAATCTCACTCTGTTGCCCAGGCTGGAGTGCAGTAGCGTGATTTCAGCTCACTGCAATCTCCACCTCCTGGGTTCAAGCAATTCTCCTGCCTCAGCCTCCTGAGTAGCTAGGATTACAGGTGTGTGCCACCACACCTGGCTAATTTTTTTTTGTATTTTTAGTAGAGACAGGGTTTCACCATGTTGGCCAGGCTGGTCTCAAACTCTTGACGTTGTGATCCACTGACCTCAGTCTCCCAAAGTGTTGGGATTACAAGCCTGAGCCAACGCGCCTGGCCAAAGTGGGAAATTCTGAATAAGATGTGTGATTATATCAGTGTCAGTATCCTGATTGTGATAGTGTACTATAATTTTGCATCATGTGATATTTGGGGTAAAGTAAACTGAGCTAAATGTACAAGAGATCTCTTTGTATTATTTCTTATACCTGTCTGTGAATGTGTAATTATCTCAATAAAAATTTCAATTAAATAATATAATGTTTTAGGAGTTACATGTCACTTAGCAACCCTCCTGGAGACATCTACTTCATACTATAAAACAGCCAAGCAAGAGGGTTGTACTCAGAAAAGGGGAGGCCAAGGGAGGAAAGAGTTGGCAGTAAACACTGAAGTATTGAAACAGATCTCAAGCTAATTGATCAGACAGAGAGAGATGCCTGGCAGGAAGGCCTGGGTTCAGAGCTTGGGAGCCACTCTGAATGTGGCGACCTAGTTTGTGGCGGGGAGCTAAAATAAAAACTGAAATCATAGGAACAGGTAGAATCTGGGAGGATGGGGGAACATGAAAGATTTCTATCTTTCTGGGGAACACCAAAATTGAAGAGCTAGACAGAGCAAGATAAGTGAAGGCCACTAAGTAGGGGTGATGAATGAGACAGGACAAGATTGAGAGGAGAAAAATATTACAGAGGTTCAGGACAAAGTGTTTCAAGGAGGGTTGCTCAGTGACATCAAAGCCAGTGGAGTCAGAAGGATGAGGCCTCAAGCCTGCCAGGTGTACACCTGGGTGTGGCATTTCCCCTAAAGGCTCCCCCTCCTGTGATAACCGCCCCCCCATTTGGTGAATGGTGCCATCCTTCTAGCCTGTGTGCTAGGGGATACATGTAGGTCATCTCACAACCCTCTCAGCCCTGCATCCCCTCTGAACTCTTCCCAATGGCCTTTCTCACCTGCCTTCCTCTTTTCCTGTGACTATTTCTTGCCACACACTCTGTTCCCACTCTCCCAGTTTCTCCTTCCTCACTAGCATTTCCTAGTATGTCTTTTCATTTGTTCAAATCTTTTGTGTTCTTCAGTAGTGGGTTTTTTTTTTTTTTAACTGCTCCTTGTAGAGCAGGGCTGCCTCATAGGCAGTGTGCCCAGAGTACCCTTCAGTAATGTTTTAAATATTTTTCCACTCATCTCTAGTATAATTCTTTTTTTTGAGACAGGATCTCCACCCAGGTTGGAGTACAATAGCACGATCTCGGCTCACTTCCTAGGTTCAAATGATTCTCCTGTGCCAGCCTCCCGAGTAGCTGGGATTATAGGCACCTGCCACCATGCCCAGCTAATTTTTGTGTTTTTAGTAGAGACAGGGTTCCGCCATGTTGGGTGGTCTTGAACTCCTGACCTCGTGATCCACCCACCTCAGCCTCCCAAAGTGCCAAGATTACAGTCATGAGCCACTACACCTGGCTTCTCATGTACAGCTAGTGCTCGACTTACGACCACGATCGCTTCCAACAGACTGGTCGTAACACGATTTGGTCGTAAGTTGAGTAGGCTATATGTACAGTACTGTGAAATGATGTTATAAAAATCTTTAAGTCATATTTTATCATAATTTTCTTTCATTATTGTTATATATCATAATTTTCTTTGTTCATTTTATGCCATTTGTATCATGTCTACACCATTTTGTTTGTTATTTTTATATTCGTCAGGTTTAAGTAAAACACTGCATTACCAGTAGTAAAGGTTGACCTGAATGCTTATTATGAAAGCATTCTTGTCCAATCTCATTTTTAAAAAGCCACCTTAACTTGTGGTAAAGGTGCAGCCTTGTGTAAAACTGTGGAGTATTCACAGATCACTGAACCACCATGGTCTACGGTTTGAAGTGAAAAACCACAGCACATGATGAGTTTTGAAAAGCAGAAGAGTATGAACTATGTTAAGTCTTAGGGTTAAAAAGGACTAGTTGCCAGGTATTTATTTATTATCATTGCAAATAGAAAAGTAAATCATCACAATTTTATGTGACTTTCCATGGGATACAAATATGTAGCATTCATCATAAAAGATGTCATCTGGATATCTTGTTCAAATATAATTTAAACTTAGTATGTTCTAATATTGTTAAAGATGTAGGGATATAAACCACTCACATTTTAGTAAGAAAGGCAAGAAAATGACTAATAATGATATGATATAGCATATATGTTTATTGTCCCGCACTGTCATATGCCCAGCTGGGCAATGTTTGCACTGCCAGACGCGGAGCAGTCGTGGCTAGCGATTGTGGTCGTAAAGTCGAATGGTCGTAAGTTGCATAGGTCATAAGTCGATCAATACCTGTAGTTCTTAAGTATTTTTTTATATATTGATGTGTAACTTACACATAGGAAAACTTTCTGATATTAAGATCTTCAGTAGTCATCTTTAGTAGTGTTTTAAAATTTTGTTTGCTCAGTTCTATATGTTTCCTAAATAGTTTCTTAATGAGGTATAATTCACATACAGTAAAATGCTAAGATATTAACATCTTTAAGTTCAGTCAGTTTCAGTGAGTCCATATCAAGACAGAACATTTTCTGTCACCCCCAGAACGTTCCCTCAGTCTCAGCAACCACTGATCTGTTTATGAGTGTTTTTTTGCTTGTTTGTTTTTGTTTGAGACAGGGTCTTACTCTGTCACATAGGCTGGAGTACAGTGGCACAATCACAGCTCACTGCAACCTTGACCTCCTGGGCTTCAGCGATCCTTCCACCTCAGCCTCCCAAGTAGCTGGGACCATAGGCATGCCCACCATGACAGGCTGATTTTTAATTTTTTTTTGTAGAGACAGGGACTCCCTACATTGCCCAGGCTTGTCTCAAACTCCTGGGCTCAAGTGATTCTCCCATTTCAGCCTCCCAAAGTGCTGGGATGACAGGTGTGAGCCGTTGTGCCCAGCCTGATCTGATTTGCATATCATAGTTTAATTTTATCTGTTCTAGAATTTGATAGAATTGAAGCCATAGATTATTTCCTTTTTTGTTTCTAGCTGTTTCGTGCAGCATAATGTTTTCAGGATTCAGCCGTATTCTATGGGTCAGCATTCCTTTACACTGCTGAACAGTTTTCCATTATATGCATCTATTCCATTTATCTGTTCTCCTGTTGATGGACACTTGGGTTGTTTTCACTTTAGAGGTATTACAAATCAAGCTGCTATGAATATTTGTATCCAAGGCTTTCTGTGGATATGTTTTCATTTCTCTTGGATGGAACCTAGGCGCGAGATTGCTGACTCATGGGGTGTGAATATGTTTAACTTTTTCTAAGAAACAGTTAGAGTTTTCCAAAGTGGTTGTACCATATTTTCTACTTCTACCAGCAGTGTAAGAGTTCTAGTTCCTCTGCATCGTATCCAGTATTTGCTGGTGTTCAGCTCCTATGGCTTTGATTTTTCTATCATTCCAGTCTTATCAATCTTTAGTCTAAATCTGTGGATACCCTCCTTACCTGCCTCCTGCTTCCAGTGCTTTCATGAATATATTTACTTGTAGGCTGCTTCTCTGATATTTTCCAGGGGTTTTGAGAGATAGAGGATGTAAACATGAATGCTTGAGCAAGAGGTCAGGGCATATTTTTAGTTATCTGCGTAATCTCTGCTGTGAGGTTACAGCTTGAAGTTGAACGTTAAAAAAGGGCCAACTATTCCCATCTTGTCATTTTCCTCCTTTCTGCATTTTCAAAGCAGCAAATAGTAAAAATGATTTCTGTGTCTTCTAAGCCTTCTGATAAAGGAATATTCACCTTTTGGCCTGAGCCTTACTGCATATCCAAGAATATGTTATTTAAGAGGAAATTGGACTGTTGACATTTCCCACAATTTTAAATGTTAAAAATCCATTTGTGTTGGGAGGCATAGGGATTGTTTCACTAATTCTCATGGATGCTCAGCCCTCACCACTGTGCCATATGGGTAGGGGTACTACCGTCACTCCTTGCATTCTCCCTCTTCTCAGGAGTGTGTGTGTACAGTTCTGCTTGTCCCTGATTCAAGAAAATAACTGCTTGTTGCCTTTTCTTCCCTCTTGGAGCAAGGCAGACTCTCCCCAGAGAGTTAGGGATTCTGGGGCTGCTAGGATGGAGGCGCAGTGTGGTGGGGTGAGGCTCTGGCTATCACAGCCCCTGTTAAAGGAGGGGCGTAGGAGGTGGAGCCTTTCTGGAGGCAGCAGTTCCTGAGCTTGGGAGGAGAGGGGAATATGTGGTAAGGACATCCTTTGTAACCAGGCATTAAAACATTGAATATGAAACCTGTAGTTCTGGGGTTTGATGCATTGCTTAGGTTACCTTTTTCAAGAATAGGGTATGGTACCTCCACAGAGCAGGATGACAAATTTGTATGGTACTAAACTGCCAGGAAGCAGTTTAGTACCATGAAGGCATTGTGACTTGTTTGCTCCCACCTCTGGAAGTATGGCTCAAAACTTCTGCACTCTAATTCATCCGCCTGTCTTTGGCTGTCTATTAGTCCATCAGAGCTGTATTGTAGGAACATAAACATGCTTTTACAGAGGAACATACCAGCCTGGGAGGGAAGCCCAGGCAGTATAGGCTTGCTGACTTTGAACATCTCCTTTAAGCAGAACTTAGCATAGCCAGAGAGGGTGGGGTTGGGGTGGGCAGAGCAGGGAAGAAACCTAATTATGCAAATTTTGATCTTAAAGCTTTATTCATATGTTTCCTGGCAGGCTGTTCTTTAATCTCAAGAGCAAGATTGCTCAGAATTACCATATATTCTAGTTAATTGCATTAAAATTATAGCAAAGGTTGTTTTTGCTATAATCAAGAGTGATTCTGATTAATACTTATGAAATCAAATGCCTCACCAGCAGTGGGGATGAGAACCACCTTCCCAGTCAGCCATTCCCTCCCCGTCTTTCCTCCCCATCTTCCCTCCCCAGTCTTCCCTCCCCATCTTCCTCCAAAATGCCAAAGATACAAACATGTTTGAAAGAGGTGTTTTTTTTTTTAAGTACTCGCTTATATGGATAGTCATTTTCAAAGAACACTTCTCAAAGAGGGAGTCTAATTGTTTTCTTCTCTCTTTAGTACAAAGGTTATAAAATAGCTCTTTATTGAGAAAGGCAAAGAGAGGACCTGAGCAGAGGCCTTGGTTGTCATGACACGAGCACATGCCGTCTTCTCCTGACTGGCTAGCTGTGGACTGGCAGCCACTCAGGGCACTCTGATGGGTGTTTTCTGCCGGATCAGTAGAACACCTTGGGAAGATCCAGAAGAAATCTGCTGGAGAAGGCACAATAACACATATGCAGAAAACATTACAATTACATACAAATATGAGATAAACAAAATGGAAATGAACTAGAGAGCAAGGTATGTCCAAAGTGCTTAGTGGAAGGACCAAGGTGATGGCAGTGGACATGAAGGAAATGACTGGATGCAAGATGATGTTAGGATGTTAGGTTGAATTGACTGGCCTTATTGTTGGGTTGGTTGTGGGTGGTGAGGGGAAGGAATTGCTATGGGTTTCTGGCTTGAGCAGCAGTGGTGCCATTTCCTCAGATAGCAATGGTTAGATTTGTACAGGTCCGCCTGCACACAATGGAGGTAGATGCTGAGAAGTGAACTTACAAGGTGAGACTTCCAGGAGGTTCCTTCGGAGGTTCTTAGGCTGGATACTGAACTTCGACATTCCTATTAGTGATGAGAGGAGAGGCATTTCACAGGGACCATCATCAGGACAAGCTCATTTTCAGAAAATACTAAACTTATTTTCCAGGAAAGTCTCATTCACTTGCCTTGACCATGAGAGAAACTATTGAAGAGCAGAGAATTCGGCAGATTGCAAAAGAGAACATCACAGAAATATGATTCAGTATCATGGTGGTCTTCGTTTATTGATTCTGATATGTGTAAGTCAGTTTTAATCATCTTCTGCCATGAGGCCATCACAAGTATGCTTCCATGGATTCTATTAAAAGGAATGGAATTTTCACAGGAAACCACCTACATCCCTGAGCCTCTGTTCTCTTAAAACCCAGGCTGATGGCAACAGAAAGTTAAATACCACATGTTCTCACTCATATATGGAAGCTAAATAAAGTTAATCTCATAGAAGTAAAAAGTGGAACTGAGGATACTAGAGGCTGGGAAGGGTAGGGGGAAGGGGACAGTTAGGGAGAGATTTGTTAAAGGATACAAAATTACAGCTAGATAGGAAGAATAAGCCTAGTGTTCTATACTGTGTTAGGATGACTACAATTAACAAGAATACTTTTTTTTTTTTTTTTTTTTTTTGGTGACAGAGTCTTACTCTGTTGCCCAGGCTGGAGTGCAGAGGTATGATCTTGACTCACTGCAACCTCTGCCTCCCAGGCTAATTAATTCTTTTGCTTCAGCCTCCCAAGTAGCTGGGATTACAGGCACACACAACCACTCCTAGCTAATTTTTGTATTTTTAGTAGAGACAGGGTTTCACCATATTGGCCAGGCTGGTCTTGAGCTCCTGACCTCAAGTGATCTGCCCTCCTCGGCCTCCCAAAGTGTTGGGATTATAGGCATGAGCCACTGCACCCAGCCAAGAATATATGATTTTAAATAGCTAGAACAAGGATATTGAATGTTACCAACATGAAGAAATGATACATGTTTGAGATGATGGATATGCTAATTACACTGATGTGGGCACCATATATTATGTTATTATCATTTTTAAGATGATGTCTTGCTCTGTCGCCCAGGCTGGAGTACAATAGCATGATCTCTGCTCACTGCAACCTCCGCCTCCTGGGCTCAAACCATTCTCTGCTTAAGCCTCCCAAGTAGCTGGGATTACAGGCACACACAACCACTCCTAGCTAATTTTTGTATTTTTAGTAGAGACGGGGTTTCGCCATGTTGGCCAGGCTGATCTCGAACTCCTGACCTCAGGTGATCCACCTGCCTAGGCCTCATAAAGTGTTGGGATTACAGGCATGAGCCACCGTACCCAGCCCATATTATATTATTATTATATGTATCAGCACATCACTAAATGCCCCTTGAATATGTACTACAGTTATTATTTTGAGAAAAGATCTCAGTCTGTCACCCAGGCTGGAGTGCAGTGGGGAGGTCTCAGCTTACCACAACCTTCGCTTCCCGAGCATAAGTGATCCTCCTGCCTCAGCCTCCCAAGTAGTTGAAACTACAGGCATGTGCCACCACACCTGGCTAATTTTATAGTTTTGCTACAGACAGGGTTTTGCCACATAACCCAGGACTCGAGTGATCTGCCCGTCCCATCCTCCCAAAGTGCTGGAATTACA